ATTTATTGTTAGAATTTGGATGCCCTAGCACTAAGAGCTGAACGCAAAGATGCGTAAAATATTGAAAGGGTGCATACTGTACTAACAATACGTTATTTCAATAGTTTTGGTTTTTTTCGGGACACCCTGTATATTCTAAAAGTGACTACTCCTATTTGTTTCAAGCTTTAATCGAGAATGAATAACACTCTTTTGAAAGTTTCATAAGTGCATATATACATATACGTATATTCATGCTTTTATCATTGTTGGAACTTGGTTTGAGGTGTTCATGAAAGCTAAACAACGAATGTTTTCCATATTCAATCCCACCATCATTATGGCTTCTATCCGTGAAAATGGTTACTTATTTCATAACTCGGATATGAGCCAGATCCTTTTCGAATAATCGAAGGGTCCCGTTCATCACGCACACTTCAGGGCGCACGGCTTGACCAGGCGGAAATCACGAGACCACGTTTTCATGCATATGAGTGAAATCATCAGTAGAAATCAGTAGTGCCATTATAATCGTACGTAAGCCTAACTATATTTCGTTTTTAGGCATACATTGGGGAAGAGAAAAATCATGCAAAGTCACTGTACAATACAAGGCGGTAAGTTTCAATCGGCTCTAGTAGTGTAAATCACACCGAGAGACAATACCATATATAAGGCACAATATATCCTGGCAAGAGTGCTGCGACAGTGCGACTGTGCAAACTTTAGGAAACTCACCCTAAGAAACCCAGTATACTCGTTTAAAAGAATATATAGGTTATAAATAACACAAAGGAGGAAAGAAATGAATCTCTAATGATACTAGGCGGGCAAATACCTTATACCTATAACATGTTCAAAATTATGAGCAGACGGCCAATACGATGATTGACGATCGCATAATCTTTAAACAAGAATTAAAAGAGGTAAAATAATCACTCGAATGCGTACGTACTGTGCATACAGTGATTGAAAATCCAAGCTAAGAAAACGCAAAGTTTCAGAAATCTGACGGAGAGATAAAGCAAAAGATATGGGCTAAACTTCAAGAGCAAAATTTCACCTTAATCAATGTATAGTCTGTGAAGACATGATGGTCTGGAAGCTCGGCAAACTTCAAAGATACAAAATAGAAGGACTTTGTTTGATGTTGAACTGTACCTCACCGTGCACAAATCCTTTTTCTCAACTTCACATATTATTCATTGTGATTGCACATTTCATCTCAGCTATAGCTGATCTGTTTGTATGCGTTTCATTTGGCACAGGTAGTCTCAACTGTTTTGGGGTACAATGACCATGGTGGTCAACATGGCATATGCACCAACTTCTGAAAACGAAAAGCGACAGCCTTTCTGAAGTGCTTAAAGTGTTTAGAACGGTTGCTTTTAGGGGTGCTTATTGGAAGGAAAAATTTGTCTAAGTATAATATTTTACAAGAAAATGACCATGCACCACCCCAGGTAAATTGCTAATTATGCATAAAATAACTAATATGCCTGGCAGAAATTAAATGTTCTTATTTCCTAAAAAAAATTATCATGGGATGAAAAACTATGCTTAATTTAATATAATTATTTTAGTTTTCATAAGAATTGTCATTGTTTTCTTTAAATATAATATATTTTATTTCACTCACCCCCCCACGAAAACACGATTTCAGCCATATTTTGCCGTCTTGTTTGCTTTTTATTGCCGAGTCTCGCAAATATCATCCAGTTGTTGTACTTTTACGTATAATGATAAATGGCTAAAGAAGATATCAACCAAGTTTCATCAAGTTTTGAAACAGTGCAGTGTATTTTATCTTCGATATTGTGTCCTTCGATATTTCGTCAAATTTCCGCCATTTTAATGGCTCGCCACTTCTCTGCCCGATAAATGCCACTTCTTCGTTTTCATATGTATTTAGATTACAGTATTTAAGAGTACTTCATTGTAGAATAGTCCCAATCGAAAAATTGAAAACATTAGTTGCACTTGAAAGGAAAAAACCTCCCGTAAACCATTTAGGCAGGGGTTTCAGAATAAGCCGGCGGCCGGCGGAGTTCCGCCGGCTACTTGAACTTTTACCGCCGGCTACTTTTCGTCTGGTCACCATGGGTTTCAGAATAAGCCGGCGGCCGGCGGAGTTCCGCCGGCTACTTGAACTTTTACCGCCGGCTACTTTTCGTCTGGTCACAGGAAAAAAATTATATACAAAGGTACAAGCGAACCAACACGATGTTTGTTATGTTCCAATTGGAATTCAAGCAAAACATAACTTATTTTGGAAGATCAATAAGATCAATAATATATAGTACCAAACATAGCTTGCTTTCTAAGTTGGTGTCGAAGTGAATCTTCCTGGAAGATAACTCTGATTGACTCTGACAGTTACTTGAGCATTGCCATTGGGGAATCCGAATTTGACAGTGAGCCAGAGAACCTTCAGAGCCACTTTGGTAAATGTTTTTGGCAAGTGACTAATTCTTTGGCAACGAATTAATTATGATAAAGTGATGAAGTGAAAAACTCTGGGCCGTAGCGAGGGGGGGGGGGGTTACCCCAACTTTTTTAGAATCAACATATTCGGAAAATCGAGTTGGTCATTCGGAAAATTACGGCAATAATAGTATAACAAAATTTTAGTTGTTAAACAGCGAAAATATAATATAATTGTATTGTCAGTATAAATTGATTTACGAAATCATGGCATTTACATGGATATTAACATTTAACAAATCGTAAATCGGTAAATATGCATGCATACCTTTATCATTTAAATAATATACCTTTAAAATACTGACAATTGATTAATTTTAAGCGGCTACATTATCCATGACAAACTGCAAAGAATCATATTACCCTTACTTTCCTGCAACTTCTCCATGCAATATATAGTTAATTAAATACGCCTTCGCCCATTTAGTACTACTAAATTGTAAACAAATTGTAAATTTCGACATACTAAAACGCTGTTTTCTGACCATCAGAATTCTGTTCTAAACATCCCCAAAGTCCAGGAAATGGCATTTCAGAGACTCTAAATTAAAAAATTTCCTCGGGCCTTCGGCCCTCGTTCTCAGCCCCTAACCAAAAAGAGTTTCCTACCGCACTGCATGCTACTCAGCTACTGTAATATGTCTGTGCGTAGAATATGCATATTTTTGTTTGTAAATTGCTGCGTCTTCATTTTCCGAACAGCAAACACCTTCGTGATTAAACTACAAGTAGCACAATAAAAAGTACATTGTTACTTACAAGTATAAATGCAAGTGACATCTAAATCTAACAAGTGAACAGTTGTACTTTATCTTCTCACTTCTGTATTCTATATTATTTGATTGTTAATTTGCGCACGAAAATTTTTTAAATTTCCATGCGAGGGCACGCCCCCCACTCCCCCCTCCTTGCGCGTTTTTTTAATTATCAGTCGCAGCCGGCTACTTTTTTGGTACAACCGCCTACTTCTAATCATTCTGAAACCCCTGTAATTAGGTTCAAAATAAAAAAACAACTCATTTGAAAGTCACGCGCAATCTTCGCGAAAACTTCTCGTGGACACATGACAGGGGGGGGGGATATTTGTAACGAAACGTTTGTTCGCCACCACAGCAACCTAGGGGCTTCGGTGGCCAAGTGGTTAGCGCACTTGCCTTTCACCTCTAAGGTCGCAGGTTCGAATCTCAGTGAGAACTTCTCAATGTGACTCGAACCCAGTCCTCATGTGAAAAGAGTAAAAAGTCAACGCTCTACCGAAAGTCGTGGGTTTTCTCCGGGCACTCCGTGTTTCCTCCCACAGGGAAAGTTGACAGGGTGGGTTAGGCACATAGGTCTGGAGGCAGATCATTAATGAGGTATGGACTAATAGCGGCAGCTGCTCAAGCGCCATTTGTAAGCTCAAAGTCTACCTCGGTCTGCTTCACGTCAGTCCGGTTCTATCTATCTATTCATAATGTAACCAGTCACTGAAAAGCCCTGATATAGGGAGTGTGCTGTGAAATATCTGTATCTAACTGTAACTAAATATATTGTGATTTTTTCTGTGTTGGTGCAATGTACTCAGGTGAATATGATGCTTGTGATGTTACTCTCAGTATATATCCACATGCACCGGGCAAGCTTGAAAAATGTGCCTGACCACGGTGGGAATCGAACCTACGACCTTTGGAATACTAGCCCAATGCTCTGCCAACTGAGCTACGCGGTCTGGTCGTTTCGAGTATGTGATATTTCGGAACAGAATCTAGTTCCTTCGATATAATGTAATCTAATAATCATGATTTTTTCTGTGTTGGTGTAATGTACTCAGGTGAATATGATACTTGTAATGTTACTCTGAGTGTATATCCACACCGGGCAAGCTTGAAAAATATGCCTGACCACGGTGGGAACCGCGTAATTTATATACATTTATTAGACCTAACCAGGAACCAGGGCCGTAGCTAGACCGATAATTTTTGGGGGAGGTGCATATTCATATATTCGTGTTCTGCCCGACGGATTTCTTTTGAAAGCGATTGTTTTACGGTATATGGGAGCATGAATATATGTATACCCCCCCCCCCCAATTATCGCGTCTAGCTGCGGCCCTGCCAGGAACAGCTTCGAAAAATGCAACTTTAGCTCCCTGATTCCTGCCAAAGACCTAAAGTTGCATTTCTGGCAGCTGTTCCTGGTTAGGTCTAATAAATGTATATAAATTTGGACTCGATAATTTCCAATTACAAGACCCTGCAGGACGGACGTACGTTGCAGGACGGACGTACAGCAGGACGGACGTACATTTTAATGCTCCGTAAATAATGCCTCCTAAAGCTGCTAAATCTAGTTATTTAACAGCAGACACATTAAGAGAACTTTGGGCTGATGAATTTCTGCCAAGTATTCAAAAGGAATTTAAAGCTGAGATTGACAAAATAAAAGATGAAATTTCCGCCCTAACAGCGAAGTGTATTGAAATCGAAGCCTCGCAAACCTTCCTGTCGAAAGAGTACGACAACTTTACTGACTCTCTTCAAATAACAAAGCGGGATGTCATGGAAATATCAAGTTGTCTGAAAGTTTTGGAAGATAAAATGAAGTCTATAGATGATTTGGTTGATGAGCAAGATGACATACAGCAGTATATTCGTCGCGACTGTGTGGAGATTACCGGCGTCCCAATGCTGCCTGATGATAAGCCGAAGGAAATTGTAAAGGAAATTGGCCAGCTCATGGGAATTGAGATCGCAGATCATCAAATTTCTACCGCACACCGCCTTCCCCCAACTCGTAAGGTAAAGGACAAACTTATTGTTAAGTTTGTGCATCGGGATACTAAAGACTTGTTCTATAAAAAACGAAGTAAATTGGTTGGCAAGAAGTCAAATGATTTGCCACTGGTTAAGCGTGAGTACGAAAATAACAATCGTGAATTTAATAATATTTATGTAAACGAATCACTAACTGCACGTAGGCGAAAACTGTTTGGACGTATAAATGAGTTCAAGCGATCAGAGAGATGGAAGCATATCTGGACTATAAATGGAAAAATTATGTTACGGGAAGAGGATGCTTCTCGTGTTTTTAGTTTTGTACATGCCAGGGACTTCGATGCTTTCTTGAACGAATCTTTTTAATAACAATGTGTGCTCTCATGCATATCATGCTTGCGGTTGTTCGCATGCAAATAAATTCTAATTATGCCTTCTAAGTCAACTATGGAAAAAACTAGTGTGTCTATAGGTAATTTACATGCATACACTGAATTAGTTGAATTGCCTTTTTATAATTTAAATAATAAGGAATTTAACTCTTTATTCAATATTGATTATAGGTGTGTGGATTCTAATATTGACTTACATAAATTGTTGCCAAACCCAGATAAATTAGACGAAAGCGATCCGGACCATATGCTAGATAATATTTGCTCTGACTATTACCAGAGTGAAAAAGTTGATAGCATCCTTAAGATAAAAGGTCCTAAATCGCTTTCTTTACTTCATTGTAATATAAGAAGTCTTCCAAAGAATTTAAATTTGTTAAATGACATGATGTATTCGCTTTCGAAAAACCCAGATATTGTAGCAATTACTGAAACTAAATTAAATAATAATACTGTTACAAATATTGATATATCAGGCTATAAATTCTATCATGTTGACTCGATGACTGCGGCAGGTGGAGCTGGTATTTATGTTTGCAATAGTTTAAAAGTTATTGAAAGACCAGACATTAAGTTTTCTATGGATCTTGTCGAATCATGCTGGGTAGAAATTGAGCCTGGTTATCAGAAAAAAAACATCATTATAGGGTGCGTATATAGACATCCAAAATCAAATATCGAAATTTTTACAGAGCAACTGAATGAACTGCTTAAGCAATTAAATCAACACAAATATCAATTTTATATATTGGGAGATATAAATATTGATTTCCTTCAATACTTGAACCATCAACCTACTGAAAAATATTTAGATATGTTGCATACTAACAATACCACTCCCCTTATTACTAAACCCACAAGAATAACAAATCACACAAAAACGCTAATTGATCATATTTATACCAATACACTTACTCCTCAAATAACATCGGGAATAGCATTATTTGATATATCCGATCATCTACCCATATTTTGTATTATAAATACTCCAATTAAACGAAATAAAGAAAAAAAGTTTTATAGAAATTTTGAGCACTTTAATACAGAGTTATATTTAAATGATATGAGACAAATCGATTGGAATGATAAATGTTGTAATTTAAATACTAATTTAAATAAAACCACACAGGATGTAATTAACGTTATAAATGAAGTAACAAACAAACATGCTCCGATAAAAGAGGCATCACAGAGTAAATTGAGACAACTTAATAAACCATGGATCACCTCTGGAATTTTAAAATCGATTAAAACGAAACAAAAAATGTATCGCACTCATTTCTATAGTAATAATGAAGCAAAAATTAAAATGTATAAATCGTATTCTAATAAACTAAATAAGTTAAAGAATATACTTAAAAAAAATTATTATTATACCCAATTTGAGAAACACAGAAATAGTTTGAAAAATACCTGGAAGCTTATAGGTACGCTCATACGCCGTAAACAAAAAGGCCAACATCACCCATCACGACTAATTAATAATGGTTCGGAGTTCTCTTCGGAATATGATATAGCAAATCAGTTCAATCAACATTTTATTAATGTAGGTCCAAACCTAGCTAACACAATAACCAATACTAATGAAAATCCAACAAGTTACATTAGCAATTCTCCTGTATCTAGTTTTGTCATGTCACCTATCACACAAACTCAAGTATTAAGTCTGTTTTTAACACTTGACAGTACCAAAGCATCTTTTGATATTCCTAATGCAATGATAAAAAAGATAGCCCCAATAATCTCACCCGTGTTTACAAGTATATATAATGAGTCGATTACTACGGGTATTGTTCCTGACATTCTAAAGATCTCACGAGTTACACCCATATACAAATCTGGTACAATTACAAATCCAAGTAACTATCGACCAATATCAGTCTTGTCAGCTTTTTCAAAAATACTGGAAAGAATTATTTATAATCAACTAGAATTATTTCTTGTTAAAAATGGCATACTCTTTGAATATCAATTTGGATTTAGAAAAGGTTATTCGACAGAACAAGCGATACTTGAAATTACAGATACCTTAAAAACTACAATTGATAAAAAAGAAATAACGTGTGGATTATTCTTGGATTTCTCGAAAGCCTTTGATACTGTCAATCATCAAATTCTCTTATCTAAACTTGACAAATATGGAGTACGTGGGACCCAGTTGGATTGGTTTAAGAGTTATTTAATGAATAGGAAACAGTATGTACGGATTGGTAATTGTGATTCAGAAATGCTTACAATGACTTGTGGAGTTCCTCAAGGTTCAACTCTCGGACCATTATTATTCTTAATTTATATAAATGACATGCCTAATTGTAGTAGCAAACTTTCATTCCGAATATTCGCAGACGACACAAATGTATTTTATTCAAACACAAATATTGAAGAAGTTGAAAACGTTATGAATATAGAAATTGAAAAAATATTTCGTTACTGTGCTACAAATAAGCTTTCAATTAATTTGGAAAAGACAAATTTTATGGTTATCACTAACTCAAAAAAGAAAGCTAGAAATATACGGATTAAAAACATTGTTAAAAGAGACTTTATTAAATATCTTGGTATATATATTGATAATAATCTAAATTGGGAGTATCAGATCAAACACGTAAATAGTAAAATTGCTAAAAACACTGGAATAATGAATAAACTCAGATATTACCTAGATTTGAAAATGCTTAAACATTTATATTACACTCTAATTTACCCATACATTAATTATGGACTGATGAGTTGGGGTAACACCTATGCAACAAAGCTTAATAAAGTACGAACATGTCAAAATAAATGCATAAAGAATATGTTTTTTGCATCCAAAAAAGAAAGTGCAACATTATACATGAATTTACTTTCCATACTAAAGCTAGACAACGTTTTTAAATTGAAAATAGCCACATTTACATACAAAATTATAAACGAAGATAAAAATATCCCTAGGATATTTTCAAATATCATTTCTACTGCATCTACTCAGCACTCTTATTCTACTAGATTTGCTGAAAAACAAAATTTTATTAGGTCGAATGCTCGAACAAATTATGGAATCTTTACTTTCAGATTTATTTCATCAAAAATTTGGGAGACAATTCCTTACCATATAAAAGAGTCAAATTCAGTTTCTGTTTTTAAGAATAGGTATAGTCAATTCCTTATTTATTCCCAAATATAAATACCACACAGTTCTGTTATGTCGCCGTCATATACTTTTATATAATAATATGATACATATATACAGTGATCAACTCGAAAGCATTCCGCTATTTTGATCACTGTACACGTTTGTTTAATATAGCAGTTTTAATATGTGGGCTTTGATTCTTGTAACTATATAAATTTTCTGTATGTTATTCTTACTTAGTTTAAATACGTGTGAAATAAATGTGATTCTGATTCTGATTCTGCAACATATTTAATTTATCTGATTTCACATATTCATCATATTCATCACAAAATTACAAAGACGGTTTATTGGGAAGAATGTTTAGTCAAATAGACATGGATAGACTTAATCTGTCGAAATTTAATATTCCCAGAATATCTTGGCAGGCTCCGTATGTGTTTACAAATCATATATTATATACGGTTGATAACAGGCAAATGTTGCTGTTTATTAGCTGAAAGTAGTGTAAAAAGCGAAGACCCAATAAAATCAACTACGGGATTGTATTAACCAGTGGCGGCATAACAGGTTCTATCTTTTTTTGGATGGGGGGAGGGGCTAATTTTCAGCTAAGTTGAGTACCATTTTTTTCAGCTGAGTGCAAACACGACACGCAAAACATGATCGAATTGTCACAGCAGTAGCGTAGGAAGATTAAGTTAGGAAGGCTGAAAACTAGGTAACCTGCGATAAGGCGTTCTACGTGGGGGCCCTGGCGCATGCTTCCCCAGAAAAAATGAAAAATTGGACCGAACTGAAAAATGGGACGACAAAAATGCTGCATAAAATTGCTTCATAATAGGTTTTTGTCTGTTTGTATGACTTAGTGAGGACTACAATCGCCAGCAAATTAGTATAGTTGAACTACCTGTGGATGGGAAAAGCTCATGCTTTTTAACCAATATATATACAACTTCATGTACTGTATTTTGAGGCTGTTGTAACCCTTTCTGTAAAAATGTTATGGGTGCTGAAGCCCCGTGTTTAAATTCACTTAAGGAATGTTTGATTGTCCAAGATGTTCGTAATTTTGTTCACTTAGCCTTTTCAGCAGCGATCAAGAATTTCCATATTACTGTCTTACTCTGATCTTTTTTTTGTGGGGGGAGGCTTATAGCCCCCACTTTCACTCATGGAGGCCTATATACGTAGAGCACTAGAAAAGAGCACCAGGAAGAGTCATAGAATACAGATCCTACAAAACTTATTCAAAGCAATCTTTCCTCGCCGATCTTGTGCATATTAATTTCGATCTTATTGACGAAGAACAAGACATTAATGTCGCTGTAAGTAAATGGAATGAACTGTTCACAAATGTTGCCAATCTTCATGCTCAAATTAAGAAATTGAGAACAAAAGGAATCCAAACCCCATGGCTTACTACTGATTTAAGCAACGCAATGCAAGACCGCGACTACCACCACCGCAAAGCCGTTAAGTCAAATTCGCCCTTTCACTGGATGATGTACAAGAAGATTAAATCTTACGTCAACATAAAAGTTAAGAAATGCAAAGCTGAATACTACTCGAACCTGATTAATACGAATAAAGGAAACACTAGTGCTTTATGGAAAACGTTAAATGACATCTCGTCCCGAAAATCTCACTGCTCGCCATCTTGTATTGAAGCTAATGGTGTTTCTCATACCGACCCAAAGTCTATAGCTGAGACATTAAACGACCATTTCTCAAGCATAGGATCCAAATTGGCATCTAGGATAAGAAATTTGTATCCAAATCGGAATTCTATCAAGCAACCTAGTGAGTTTAGGGAAAATGAATTTGTTTTCCAGCCAATTGAAGAAAGCTATGTGTATGGTGTTCTGAACAATCTTAAAACCAACAAAGCTGTAGGCCTAGACAAAATCAGCGCTAGGTTACTTAAAGATTCTTCCAGTGTTGTAACTCCCATCCTAACCAAACTTTTCAATCGTTCACTCACTTCCTCAACATTTCCATCAACCTGGAAGTCTGGCAAAGTAACAGCGCTTTTTAAATCTGGTGACAAATCCAATGCTAGCAATTACAGACCAATCACGATACTCCCAACAATTAGTAAAGTTCTCGAGAAAGCAGTCCACTCTCAAGTTTACCGCTACCTTATTGACAATAAAATACTAACACCACGACAGTTTGGTTTCAGACCTAAACTTTCCACTGAGATTGCGCTTGCACATTTCACGGACACCATTTTGGCTAATATGGACAAGGGTTTAGTAACAGGAGCTGTTTTTCTTGACCTGGCTAAAGCCTTTGATACTGTCGACCATTCTCTTTTATTTGAAAAGCTTGCCTCATCTGGTCTCTCCAATGATTCTGTCAACTGGTTCAAGTCATACCTAAGCAATAGAAATCAACTTACCGCCCTGGCTAACACTGTTTCCTCCTTCAAACACGTTCCTGTCGGAGTTCCTCAAGGTAGTGTTTTGGGTCCACTACTATTCCTTATTTTTGTTAATGATTTGCCTTATTGTATCAACCATTGTGAAATATCCTTATACGCTGATGACACTGTGATATACCTTTCTTCAAACAATGCTTGCGATCTTGAAATGAAGTTAAATTCCGATCTAAAACACCTATGCAGATGGTTTAACGACAATCTTCTGACACTTAATGTCTCCAAGTGTAAATTTATAATTTACGGAAGTTCTCGCAAAGTTGCAAAATTTAACAATGTTTCCATCACGGTTAATGATTCCATACTTGATAGAATTGACTCCTTCAAATACTTAGGAGTTACAATTCAACAAAACCTAACCTGGTCAGAACATATCGACAACATCAGCAAGAAGTTTAATCAACGCCTTGGTCTCATTCGCCGCATAAAATTCTTACTCCCTATTCAAGCCAGACTCACCCTCTACAACAGTCTTGTTCTCCCTCTATTGGACTACAGTGATATCGTGTGGGGAGATAAAAACAACTCCACTCTAATGAACCACCTTCAAGTTCTGCAACATAACGCTGCGAGACTTATCCTTGACCTTCCTCGCCATTCCTCCGCTACCGAAGCCCTTGAAACTCTAGAGTGGAAACCCCTTTATCTACGTCGAAAATACCACCGTTGTATCTCCGTCTTTAAATGTCTTAACCATCTAGTCGACTTTGATTTTAACCTTACCATAATCTCCCGTATACATAGCCATAAAACACGCCAGAACAACAACTACTACCTCCCACGCCCACGTACGAATTGGGGAAAACAGAAATTCACTTATCACTCGGTATCGGAATGGAACTCATTACCTATTGAACTGAAACAATCTACTAATCTTAATCTCTTTAAAACCAAACTAAAACAATTTATCTAATTAAGTTGAACAATTTATCTAATTAAGTTGAGTTTTTTGTTTTTTGTTTTTTTTTCTAACTATGAAGTATAATTATATTTTTCTAACTATGAAGTATAATTATATATAATCCATTTGTAAATATTTTATAGTTTTTAAATAAGCACAGTATAGTTTACCATGTATAATATAGATATATATTGCAGGACCTCCCTGAAAAACACTTCGGTGAGTGGAGCTTCCTGAATAAATATTATTATTATTATTATTATTATTATATAGCCCCCGACCTCCCTTGTTCCGCCGCCCCTGATATTAACATCGCTGAGAGATCTCAGGAGAAGTAGTTTAGACCATTGCCAGTGTAAGACCAACTCTGGCATCGAAAGGGCATGTTTCTTGTATTGACAAGGATATATTGTTAATTGTTAGTATATTGGCCATCGCATATAAACTAATTTTGTCCGTGGAATCGTTCCTTTAGTTTCGCGGCAACCTTATATATTGTAAGCTGATATATTATTGACTTTACAATCCGAACAATATATAGTTTATTACATAAAAAATAACCTGCTATAATAACTAGTTTAGCGGGCTCTGTATGTGCTTAGAACTCGTAGATAACGGGCAAATGTTTCTGTATTTTAGCTGAACGTATACAAAAATTAATATGAAATCAATTTTCGTAGTATGCCTCTTTGATGCAGATTATATAGTACGGGATGATAATGACTTCATGCACTCAGAGACCTGGCTTAGGAGAAATAGTTTCGAACATTGCACGCATAAGGAAGACTCTGGAGTGGAGTCAAAAGGGTATTTTTATTCTGTTGACAAGGTTATATGTCGTCTTGCCTAGCTTTAGCTCTTTTAATTAATGCTGTACAGGGTGTATCAAAATAAACGCAATTTATCTTCTGTGCTTAATAACTTTCGAAATACTATTTCTAGTTAAACGCATTTAGGCTTACTTCAAAGCCTGTTCTTTTCTCTTTCAAACAAACTATTATCCTTGTCTCCAATGCTAGTAATAATTGCACAGGAAAAGATTTAGTAAAACCTATCATTTTTAGTTGCTGTTTAATTATGCAAGTTTACTATGTTATTGTTTAGTCGGTTTAAATGTTAGAATTTTCTTCTTTAAACTTTAATGTTGTCGTCACTACATCTGGAAAACCACGTAAGAACAAATTAAAAGTATTTTAAAAGAGACCAGGTTGTTTGAAAATCCTAAACGAATGCTAAAAATCGTCAAAACATTCTGGTGTCTGAGCCAGAGTGTCATCGAATTGCGATGTAATGTAAATAGAAATTATAGCAAGTTGATGTCAGTCAGCTTAGATGGTCCAAGCCAAAATTATATCGCATTTGAAGTTTCAAACTGAGTTAAAAATAGTGGAAGAAAAGCCGTAATTATACTTATTGTTACAATCCATTTAATAAAATGCAACATTTTTTTGTTTTAATGAAAAAATCAGTTATTTCATGAGAACGATTTGTTATTCCATCTCAATTTTTTTAATCTCCAATCGCAATAACGTAAAGTATTGTTACCCGCGAACCAATGAGTCAAATTTAAGAAACAACCCACTGTTAGAAAGCTGAATGCCTACGCTTTAAAATGAATGTAAACTTTAACATTTTCGTCTATTATTTGTTTAGCAATTTACATTTCAGTCGAGGATTGCGCTTTTTTTGATACACCCTGTATATATATATATATATATATATATATATATATATATATATATATATATATATATATATATATATATATATATATATATATATATATATATATATTTATTATATGGATATGAGTAAAATACCGTAAAATACGCCACTGATATTTCCCGTATTTCACTATAGTGAAATATGAAATCATATCTTACGCGGGAACGTCTCGCGCGGGACCCACGCTAATTCCCGCCATTTTGCCGTTTCTGTTTTGAATATACAATATGGCAACTTCTCGACATTTGCTGATTTGGCAAGGTTTTCTGATGAAAATGAAAACACAAAAAGGAAGACTAAGTCCGATTTGGCGATCTTCATGCAGCGACTATTTAGCCTCGATAAACGAGCGGAGAGACATAACATTGTTGCCGTACGGTGAGCTACAAAACATCTTGATGAAATTTAGTTTGGCCATATAATAAAAAGAACATTTCACGGTGGCTTTGGAAATATGACTTTTATTTTCTCGTGTTGAAAACAATATTTTACTCACTCGCTGCGCTCGTTCGTAAAATATTGTTTTCACCATTCGAAAATAAAATTCATATTTCCGCGCCACCGTGAAATATCCTCTATATATATCAGTCTGTTTCATTAGTATAGGAATCATCAGGTGGTGAGTAATATTTCGAAAATGTAGGTTGCTTTTATGCTGTCGAAAGAATGCGCGGAATGCGTGTAGACGAAACCGAATGCTTATATAGGCGAAACAATTGTATATATATATATATATATATATATATATATATATATATATATATATATATATATATATATATATATATATATATATATATATATATATATATATATATATATTATATATATAGTATATATATATATATATATATATATATATATATATATATATATATATATATATATATACGAGTAGGTTTGTGTATACGAAACGCAAAGAGTGCTCAACATCATAAAGATAGAGCAAATGTAGAATTTCGCTTACCTCAAAATTCCGCAACAGTCTGTTTCATCAGTAAAGAATCATCAGGCGGTATGACAAGTTTCGAAAAATAGGACTGCTTATATGTGTTTTGGCCGGAACGTGGGGGTGTGTGGGTGAAACAAAGCATGCATACATCTATTATTTGCGTTGTTTACGCGGAAATGTCTAATCGAATTGTGGGAGTGTATTGTTTGCGTTGTTTACACGAAAATTTCTTCCTATGTCTGCACGTAGATATAATTTCCATTCTTTTATTGAGTAAACGGTTTTGGTTTTCTTTCAAAATACAAAATTTTTCCTCTAAACATAAATTACATCGTTTTGATCCTCCCGTATACGAAATAGCGCGTTTCAAAATTTGCCAATTGATATTAAAATCTTTCTTGCTATCTTTCAATGTCCAAATATATTTCGAAAGTTCAGTTTTGTTTGCATGAGTGCTCTTTATGCTCGAAAGTATAGTTATGGTTAGCCAAACGCTCTTTAAATGCAGTTGATGTCATGCCAATATAATTCATGATCGTGTTAGGGTTGCTTGTTGTGACTGTTGCTTTGTATACTATGTCCTTAGTCATGCAGAAATAGGCTACGTAATGTCACGCAGAAATAGGCTACGTAATATCCTTTGGTTCAACCCACCATTTAGCATGAATGTCAGCACTAATATAGGGCGTAATTTTCTTAACCTTATCGACAAGCACTTTCCTTCGCACCACAAGCTGCATAAGATCTTTAACAGAAATACAGTAAAAGTAAGTTATAGCTGCATGAGCAATGTTAAGTCCATAATCACTAAGC